TTTTTTTTTAATTATTTTTAAGAATAACGTAATTTATTCCTTTAGATACTTCTGTTCTCACAATGCTGGAATTCATATGATCACTTTACCAATGATGTCTCAATTAGAGGAATATATCAATGCACCAGAAGGTAAGAGATGATTTTTCACTGTCAAATTTGTACACGTTGTAAAATTTGTAAGGTGAACACATTTTCTTCAGAGAACGATGATGCTCGTCTACCGGTGCTTTCAATTCAGTCCAGCTCGCAATATTTAATTTGTAGAAGAATCAAGCACACCGAAATGAACGAAGCTACGCCGATTCTTGGAATCGGACTTCTTCAGGAACCATGCATTCTGATAGCTTTGTTACATAACGGTAATGTCGTCGCCCGATCTGTCATCGATCTCTACTACGTTCCAAAAATCGAACCTCCAGAGCCTATAATTGACAAGAAAGAAAAGGTGAACAATCTTTGAGTTATGAATTTTTCTGTTTTTACTTCAGTACTATAAATATCGTTTAATTATTTCTTTTAATACCAATGTTTTGAATGTCGTTTAAAAGAAAAAGACGTTTGTTTACATAAAAGTAATGCTTACAATACTCACACTACGTTAAACATAATATTTGATTATATAATATAAATTAAAGGTAGACAAGGAGAATTTTGACATGTACATAAAAAAATTACTGAAGCATGAAACATCACAACCTATTATAAAAATTGGATCGAAATCTGTGTCGTCGCGGGAATGTTTGCAGGTATTGAATTGAAAAAGTGAACGAATAATAATTCGTTTGGATGAGAATTAACGAAATAATTTTCATAATTAGCTTTTATATCACGCGACGGATATATTTCGTAAAGAACATTTTGCTAAACACGACACTGTAAGAGAAGAAATTGGTAAAAAGATGCGCGCATTGAAAGTAATGAAAACCCACCTATTAAAAGAATTGGATACTTTAATGGAAACAAAGAAAGAATTGCATCAGAATGCTGAACGTTTAGCTGAACGATACGAGGATATTAAGGATGAGCAAGAGAAATTGGCACAAAGGTAAAAGTAATTTTCAATAAAGAAAAAACATGCGTTCTTATAGTATAATGATGAACTATTTTGATGCCATGAAAGAATTATTATTCATTATGAAATTTCGATTCACAGAGCAAAAGAGGTATTACGATTAGTAAATTACAAAGAACCTTCTATGACTCCTATTGAAAGAGCAGAAGCAGAGGAATTAAAAAAAATGGAGATAAAAATAGAAGAAATGAAAATCAAATTGTTAGAACTTAAAAAGAAATCCGAACACCAAACTGGACATATAGAAAACAATGAATGCAGTGAAAAGAAAACAGAAATTGTATTTAGAAAAGATCAAGAAAAGACCATTAAAACCAGTCTTGGACATATGTACGTACTATTATTATTTCATAAAACTACATTGGCCAACTATGTAATAAGCCTGCCTTTTTTATTTTGCAGAGCAAACGATATGAAAGAGTTAATTGCAAAAATTAAAAAGCTTGAGGAAGAAGTGAGTATTTAAGTCAAATGATCAAAAATTTATTAGCGCTGTTTGTGACCAAATGTAAATTTGATTACTTTACTTCAAAATATAGGATTTGTGTACAATAAAAAGTCATTTTATTTGCAAAATAATTTATTACACTAGCTATACAAGTATCCTATATTCAGCCATTATTGACTTAAAGAATGCTTACAGTAGCATCTCCTTTAAATGTACGGTTTCTCTTTTAAATGTTAAGATATGAGTTATATAAAACATACACATATCACTTCCAATAAAAATATCATTAACATGAAATGAGAAACTATTGAATATTATAAATTATCGAAAGAGATAAATAACAATAATAGTATTTTTATATACTTCGATTTCAAATAAATTTATCGAATATGTACAGAAATAATAGAGATGCATTAAATTGTAAGTGCGATGAATTTATAATAAAATTGAGTAGATAAACAACATTGTTTTGAATAATTTTATCACTATACGTATGAAAAGATTTACATTGTTGTTTCTGAAACGATTCTATTGTACTTTTTAGTGATAAAAAGGAAAGTCCTAACGATTTATCTGCACATTATTTTTGCTCTATAATTATACTTCTTTTACCACGACAGATTGTTCAAGGCACAAAAATATAATGAGAAACATCGTTAGAATCTTCCATAACTTTCGATTGCAACAATTTTATTTCGAGCCGTAATTTTTCCTTTTCCATTTCTTGCTTTCGTATCTCGTTCGAATAACAGCTCATTTGTAACTTTAATTTATCCTTTTTCAGTTTTAACATTTCAGTTTCATGATATAGCTTCCCCTTCTCCGCACGAAGTACTGCCAGCTGTTCCTGAAGCAATTGCTGACTGGCCTCGTCTGACAGTATTACCTCAGATGCATCAATATCTGCTTTTACAGTTGTTGCTGACTTTGAACCATTTACCTCGCTGTCAGGTTCACTATCAGGTTCTGCCTCTGCGTTTGTACCTTCTTTCATAATCCAAATTCTAGAATTTGTATTTTCGTCGAAAGTATTCGGCGGTGATTTTGTTGCCTGTTGCGACTGTGGTGTAAGAGGTCTATTTTGTTCTTTAGGGGATGTCGATATTCTCTTTATTTTTTCCATGTCTGTAGTAGGTGTAATTGTTTCGATATCTAAGACTGACATAAAGTTATATTACGCGCCTATTTTTTCCATTAACAAAACAATTGTTATCATAATTATTGAAATTACCTCTAGTACTGGGAGATTGGCTAGCATCTACGGTATGTGACAAATGATTGTTACAGTAAGTATGAAATTCTCGCTCGTCTACGAATACAGAACCATCAGCATTTACGATAGATTCAACAATTACAGATGGGTCTTCATCTTGCATTACTAACTCTCCTACAATTTCACCATTTGCTGTTATAATATCCCCATTGTTATTTGTTCTCAATAGTTCGCCCTCTGTTGTATCAATTTCGTCTACTACTTCTTCTTGAGTTAATTGACCGCTATAAGAATCATCGCCACCATTTCCTTCACTTACTTCCAATTCAGTTGGTAATCCCTAAAAACAATTCCTTTAATTAAATATACTGCTGAATCATATATCATGAAATTAAATATCTTACATCTTGTCCCCAAGGAGATTCTTGTTCTTTTTTTATCCTCTTTATTGTTTGTGCAATTTCGTCTTCAGATTCAGAATAGATCTTTCTGTCAATATCTTTGCCTTGCATCTTCTCTATGTCATGAATCTTTTTAAACAGTTGATATGCTCTCTCTGGTGTTATATTCCTCTTTTGCTTATTTGCTGCTGCTATATTAAATAAATCTTTGGACCTAAGTATCTTGTTTGTTCGTAATCGTACATATTCTTTTAATCTCTTACGATCAATATGTAACTGCATAAGATCTTGTACTTCTTGTTTAATCTCACCACATAATTTTCTTTCTTGTGGAAGATTCTTAAACAATTCCTAATGAAACAGATAAAGTTACATAAAAAATTGTAAATTTAATTTAGAATTATTCAACTACAACTATTTACCTCTGAGATTTCATGATTATGTTCGTTATTGACACTAGTTACCTCTAATTTTGTACCATCTTTCGATGCCCTTAACATAATATGAGCAGGACAATTTGTTCTTATTGATCTACATAAAACAGTAGTAGGTATAATATAATATATTTAGAGATACATATAGATATTTATATTCATTTACTTCAAAATAATTAAAACTTTTGACCACCATAAATACAAGCATATTTTACTGAATAATACTTTAAACGTTCACTAATTGGACGAGCAGTTTTCATATGAGCACCGCTAACTGTTCTGCTATCTCTTCTCCAGTAATGGACTAGACTACGCTTTGAGAATTTCTCCAATTTAAGTTCCAGTTCTTCATAACTATCAAACATTTCCCCCAAATGGAAGGATACGTCTTCATCTTCCACAGTATTTACATCCATTATAAAAGCTACAGTTAGCAATCTATTTTATAATCAAACATGTGTTATTTATTAATTTGGAAATGCATATAAGTGTATAGAAAAGTTTTAATATCCATAAATAATTTTCGTGTCATTCTGCACAATATAAACGTCGCAAAAGCGAACATTATGAAAATTTATGTCGAATTTTAAAGTCGATAAAGATAGTGTATTGTACGTTAGAAATGAAATGAAGGTTAGAATATGTCAGGACAAATGAAATAACATCACTGCAGTTATTATTTGTATCATTGTTTAATTCGAGTTTTACTAACTGAACAAACCCCTCGATAATCATATAATTCAAACGAAAACATTGTTTCTTTTAGTCAAAATTTCGAGGTTAAATTTCAGTTTGATTGGCGTGGTAGAAGCCAGGACGATAGAACCGTGAACTCAGCCAGATAGAATTACTCAAGAACCGGACAAAGTCAGGCGGGATTTTTTGTTTCTTACTAATTTCCAGACTTTACAATGCAACTTACGTCTTGTCATATTTTTCGTAGTATTCCTTCTTTTTATTGACGTTTCATTATACCCAATTGACATGAAAACATGCATCGTGATTTTGCGCCATTTCTAACCCAAGACAAGTGACTGAACTACAGCGCAATTATTATAATTTGTTCTGCATTCAAATCACTTCATATTTTACAGAATTAAATAAAAACTAAAACAATTCACTAACTTTTTTCACACAAATAAGTTCGTTCATAATCTGTTATATTGAATGAACAAAATTTGTATAGATTATTATGAAGTGGAATAACCTATCATTTAGTATTACAGC